GCACACATGAGACGGATAAATATTAAATCTAGTACAATCTCCCAGTGTGTGATGCTATTTATATTCATGCAGATCCTCAGCTAGCCAGGCTGTTAGGGAAATGTTTAAATATTGTTTTAGGTACACCTAATTTGGAAAAAATAATCCATTAAAAATACAAAACAAATAATTGCATAAAATATCCAAGAATCTAAAGTCAGTACTAAGTTATATGCGCCAAGCTGTAAGATAGAAGTTCCTCTGAACTTTCTGCAAATTTATTCTCTACCATGTTTTCTCTCTCTGATCTCCATCAAACAGGTAAATAGAATGGAGCTATCAAGAAAAAACAACCATATAACCTTTTAAAGAAAACTGAGCCCCTTGCCAAAACCGGTTTGGCTCAGTGGATAGAGCATCGGCCTGCGAACTGAAGGGTCCCAGGTTCGATTCCAGTCAAGGGGGCATGTACATTGGTTGCGGATACATCCCCAGTAGGAGGTGTGCAGGAGGCAGCTGATCGATGTTTCTCTCTCATCAATGTTTCTAGCTTTCTATCCATCTTCCTTCCTCTCTGTAAAAAATCAATAATATATATATATATTATATATATATAATTTAAATTGAGCCCCTTTACACCCATGTAGTTGCATTCTTCCACCACCAACCCTACACAGGCCATTAAAATATTAAGGGGCTGCCTCAAGTGGCAGCCAAGCATCCATTCTAAATTTTTTCTCCTCACTGGTGTGACACTGAGAGCATGGACTGTGTGCTCATGCCATTCCAAAGAATTAGCTGTCATAATACACCACCCCATTCTTCTTCCATTCAGGAAAGAACATCATGAAGCAGAAAGCATAGGGATAACTCTGCATCCATGCACTCTGGTTCATACAAACAAGCCAATGACTCCAAATGTCAGTACTGTAACTCTTAGTAGTCACAAATGCATTTCTACTCATGCAGCGCTGTATGGCTGAGAAGTAGGGCCTAGGAGGGGTCTGGGTTATAATACCCATCCAGAAACCTAAGTACAATAGTATCATTCCTTGGCACAGGAGAAATTCGGTCACAGCCACCTACCCTTGGCTCCAAGGTTTCAAATAGTCCAATATTTCTTGTAACATAGGAAGGACATGCAACATCCTCCCTTAGATCTTGAGTTGGATTCAGTTCCCTTAGTAAGAACCACTACAACTTCAAAATCTATTGCAAAAGAACATGTAAGGGGTAACCCCCAACAACACTGTGCATAAGGATAAAAGATCTATGCTAATGAGCATTAAATTCACATGACTATAAATACCATAAGCATGAGCATTCTAGCTTTCTCACCTTCACTCAGCAATGGACCTGCCTCTCATTTCTATTCACATAGTTCAATTCATATTGTCTTAGGTCATCTGAATTTAAGTTACTAAAATTCTAATTATCCAAATACTCTCTGGTAAAACTATTTGATTGTTATAGATTAAAGAAACATAATCAAGTGTCCCTTGTCTCCTTTACATTCTTTTCTCCCTTGCAGAAAATGTTTCCGTGTCTTTTCCTTTAAAGGGAAATTATAGTTAGTGATAGTAAATGGTCGAAATTCTAAACAGCACAAAAACCATTTCTAGAAAAAACAAATAAAGTCCTAATTAATAATGAAAGTACTAAGTAAACTAAATCACATTCTTAATCGCTCTATCAAAGCTACAGATGTTCAACTTACACTAGGGTTACATCTGATAAACCCATTGTAAGTTGAAAATATTACAATCTGAACATGCATTACCTAACCTACTGAACATCATAGCTTAGCACACCTTCCCTTAAACATGCTCAGATCACTTACAATGGCCTACAGTTGAGCAAAAGCATGTAACACAGGAACACAGGGTAGAGTATCAGCAGTGACCACATGGCTGACGGTGAGCTGCAGCTCACTGCCACTGCCCAGCATCACAGCAGAGCATAATACCACATATCGGTAGCCCAAAAAAAGATCAAAATGCTAAGTACACCTACTGCTGAATGCATATTGCTTTTGCACCATTATACAGTCAAAAGACGTAAGTTGAAACATCGTAAGTCAGGGACAATCTATAGCCATTTCCAGGCACTCTTGCTCTCCTGCAGCCATGTACCAAGATGCAGAAAGCCTGGATCCGGAGTCACTGCCTGGAGGAGAGCTCCTTGACCTGCTTCATACTTCAGATGAATACAAGATAAATCTCCGATACGTGAAGCCACTGAGATCTGAAGCTTGTTTAATATCGCATCAGGACCTACCCTATCATGACCAATAGATACTCATATACACCTGAAAAAAGGACTAAGAGACTTCCAAGAGGGGAAGGAGGGGCACTTCAATGTTTTTTTAAAGGAACTTGATTTTTGGCAATCTTAATATTCTTTACTTTGCAATACTACCTCATATTTCAAGTAAATTGACTTTTCAAACTCTCCATGCTTCTTCCACCTTTTATATTTAACCTAAAAATAATAATTATATTATACTTATATTTAATATACAGATTAATACTGGGGCTTTCACTGGGTCTATGTTACACAGTCATATCTCACCCACAGTACCCAAGGCAGCCTCTGATCAGATAGGTTCCAGAACAAGGAAGGGGTAGTGGGAGCAGCCTAAATCATCTCTTCATTTGTTGCCAGCTTAGGGTAACATGGGGTAGTTAAATAGAAGTATGAATGTCACCTAGTTTAAACTGAACTAACCCTCATGAAATGAACAGTGGTTTTATATGTTTTTACTGCCTGGCTGGGATGGTTCAGTGATTTTGTGTTGACCTATGAACCAGAAGGTCATGATTCGATGCATGGTCAGGTTCATGCTTGGATTGTGGGCTCGATCCCTAGTCCAGGGTGTGCGGGAGGCAGCCAATCAATGGTTGTCTCTCATCAGTGATGTCTTTATCTCTCCCTCCCTCTCTGAAATCAATAAAATATATATTTTAAATGTTTTTACTAGGAGTCAAATGGTTCTTTGTGTCATTAAAATTGACCTCAATATACTATTTATTTTACTTTGCCTTTTCCATACTTAATTTTTGTGGCTGTCATAGAAGACAATATACTAACATAGTAGCACATCATGCAATTTAAAAATTAATATACATGTGTAAGTGGGAAGTCTATGCTCAAAAACACTTACTGGTCAAAGCATAAAATAAAAGTAATTTTAGAATTGACAGTTTAGATAACAGCTTTCAATTTTGCCACTACATGCATTATTCCTAAGCTTCTGTAACCATTTCCCAAAACAACTAAAAAAGGAAGAAACCCAGTATTGGACTGGGGAAACACTCATAGCTGCAACAGGTTCACAGGATTTGCATGAACTAGCAAAGTCAGAAAACACACACACACACACACACACACACATAAATAACAGTGAAGAGCATTAATTTGAATTAGGAGTAAAGGACAAGGTTTTCTGTTCCAACTGAAAATCACATTTGCACATCTGAAAACTAGCAGACTGTCAGATAACCAAAGGGATAAGATGATTGCTTTCCACACTCAGAACAAACAGCAGATCCTCCGACAGATGAGAAATGCTATGGGTACCTGGACTCCAGAGGCTGGAAAGCCAGGGAGACCGACAGACAGGAGGGTCCACAAATGACCCTAAGAAAAGCAGAGCACTACATTAGGCCAACATAAAGGTCACTTACCAGAGAAGCACGAGTTTAGCCAAATTTAAATTATCGCAAATATCTGGAAACGTTTTTAGCCAAATGGCATAGCACCATCTATTCCACATCTCTTAGCACTTATCTCACTACCAACAAAAGGTGAGGCTGGGATTTAAACCCAGGAATATCTGATTCCAAAGCCCTTATGAAAACAGCATCATATAAATGAGCCTCACAGAACAGGTAGGATGTGAAAATCAAGATTGGCGTGGGTTACAAGGGAAGAGGCAGCAAGAGGAGGTGCTGTGACATCCTCTAACAGAAGATAATGGAAAGAGCAAAGGTATGGAGGTGGGAAACTCTGAATATTTACAGGTAGTACCACATGGTGGTTCTGGTAGCCTAGGAGATGTGGAGCGAGGTGGTAGGAGATAATGCTGGGAAGGCTAGTCAGGCTTTCCAGTGGAGGCTCAGCCACAGAAGCGGACTTCATTCTGGAGCGATGAGTAATGACTGAGGGCTTTAAAGCAGGGGAATTGCATAAACGCAGGTAGATGCTGGGAAGACTAATCTTGGAAGACGGATCAAAGAAAAGTATGAAGGTGCCTTGCACATAGTATGTGGTTAATATTGAATGGATGAGGCAAAAATGTGTTGTGTTTCTCTAACATATCAAGCCCATTCTACCCAACACCACTTAATATTGTTCAGTTCGATACTTAGAAAAATAAACTACACTCATTCTAGGAAGAAATAATGCTGCTGATACTTCAAAAAAAATCAATTCACTGGTCAGATGTGGTCCTCTAAATGTTGCTATTAAAATGTCTACTCTTGCTCGGCAAGTGTGGCTCAGTGGTCGAGCATCAACCCATGAACCAGGAGATCAGAGTTTGATTCCCAGTCAGGGCACATGCCTGGTTGGCAAGCTCGATCCCCAGTGGGGAGCATGCAGGAGGCAGCCAATCAATGATTCTCACTCAGCATTGATGTTTCTGTCTCATCTTCTCCCTTCCTCTCTGAAATCAATAAAAATATATTTTAAATGTATACTCTTGCAAAAATTAACACTTTCCTCTTCTAATCAAAGGAAATATATCTGAGTTGCTGTTGTAACTGCTGAAAAAGGAAACAAAATTAACCAAGTCTCAAAGTTAGGCAATGACAAGTGATCCTCCCTCTTCCACAACAGTGTGAAAAGGTCATTGGAAAATAAGGAGGTCACAAGCTATAATCTCATATTTCCTATGCCCTCTTGTAGCCTCCAAGCCAAACACATGCTAAGTAGGAGCTTGTTTGATAATGCCGAACTTTCTTCTACATGGGACATGGTACCATTTGCAAAGCAAAACACTGAGATGAGCCATAACCTACCTGATTTTCTTCATGGGAAACCCTCATCTGCTCCTTGAGGACAGACATCCGGGCTGCCTCTTCTTTCCTCAAGACTCTCTCCTTCTTGAGCTCAGGACTCCAGAAGGTCTTGATACTGTTCATGGAAGACCCCAACTTGCTGTCCTTGATGTCCAGCTCTTTCCGAAGGAGTTCATTCTCTCTCTGCAGTTCCTTGAGCTGGGCCTGAAAGTCTAACATTGTGCTATCCCTTACCTGCCTCAACATGGAGGGGACCTGGTGGTGGTGGTGATGGGATGAGCTGGTCAGACCTACATGTTGATCTGTGTAAGAAAGGACATCTGTGTGGGAAAGTCCAGCAGAAGCAATATTGGGACTACTCCCCATGGCTGTGACGCGACCTCCATACACAGCTCTATTTGTGGCCCTTCCCAGAGTCATGGTGCCCTTTGGGTAAGTTGTCGAAGCCACTCCCTCATGATCACTCAGGTACATGGGTCCAGACGTAGCATAGGCTGCATTAAGGGACTGAATATTCTCCATGGACAGAGTCTTGCCCGCCCCTCCACCTCCCCCACTACTTGTTCTTCGGTGGCCCAAACGAGGAGACCTTGGCAAACGAGGAGATCTGGAAGGGCTTCCTTCCAGATTGGTGATTGTTCTTGCACTTCCATACATTTTTCTTCTATTACGAGGTGCAACTGAAGAGAAGAAATGCTATACTAAGTTGAGGATAAAGCCAAAATTTTCACTGTTGGCCAGAATTTTCACTGCATCCCACTCATAGACTGTACCAGAAAATTACTCCAATCAGAGATCTGAAAAAATGAGAAAAAGGATCATCAAAAACAAACTTCTTTAGAACTCTCACTTTAATTTCATTAAGTGTTTAAATATATAGACAACCAAGATGTCCTCCAGTAGGTGAATGCATAAATAAACTGTGGTACATTCAGATAATGGAATATTATTCAATGCTATGGAGAAATGAGCTAACAAATCATGAAAAGACATGGAGGAAAATTAAATTACTAAGTGAAAGAAGGCAATGTGAAAAGGCTACACAATGTATGATTCCACCTAAAAGACATCCTGGAAAAGGAAAAAACTATGGACACAGTAAAAGCCTCAGTAGTTGCTAGGGGTTAGGATCAGTGGTTGCTGGGAGAGAGGTGAATAGGTGGAACACAGAGGATTTCTAAGGCAGTGAAACTACTCCGTTTGACACCATCATGGTGGATACATTTCTTTATACACCTATAGAATGTACAGCACCAAGAGTGAGCCCTAATGTAAAATATGAGATTTGGATGGTTATGATGTATCAATGTAGGTTCACTGTTTGTAATAAATGTACCACTCAGGCAGGATTGAAAACCGGGGAGACTGTATATGGAAGCAAGAGCTCAGTGAGAACTCTGTTCTATTTTGCTGTGAACCTTAAACCACTCTAAAAAAAAATAAAGTCTAGCCGAGACCGGTTTGGCTCAATGGATAGAGCGTCGGCTTGGGGCCTGAAGGAACCCGGGTTTGATTCCAATCAAGGGCATGCACCTTGGTTGCGGGCATATCCCCGGTAGGGGGTGTGCAAGAGGCAGCTGATCGATGACTCTCTCATCGATGTTTCTAACTCTCTATGTCTCTCCCTTCCTCTCTGTACAAAATCAATAAAATATATTTTTTAAAAAATAAAGTCTATTAAGGTAAATAATAAATGTATATCAATGGTGCTAATGACAGATGAACAATAGGTAGGTAGATGATAGATAGATGATAGATAGATAGATAGATAGATAGACCCATGTTCATTTAAAAAAAAAAAAAAAAGTGACCCCAAAATTTTACTTACTACTATCTAAACATTTTGTAAATTCTCCCCACCCTGCTCCCAAACAAGGTCAAAATTTCTCAGCGCCAAAAAACACTAATTGTTCCTTAGGAAACATGAAGCTGTGTTAAGTGACAGTTGGAACCTCCAGAAAATTGATCAGAGGATGTCTCATCACAGAAACCTCAGTTATAAAATACCCTGTCCTGGAAGCATGACCCCTAGACACAAATGGCTTGACAGTGACTCTGAGAAGCTGCTGCTTCCTAAGATGTCAAATAATAGTCAGCCATGTTGTTACCTCCACTCTTGTACCCACTACAGAAATCACTAATCCATCACAGTCCTCTTTTCCATTAGGTTCAGAACTCTTCTCAACACAGCACTCCAGATGGTTTACCATCAATCAACTGGCATCGATATGTGATTTAGAACCTATAGGCCATCTTGGAAAAAGAAGTCGCTCAACTAATATAGGTGGCTCCTTACATATAGCCGGATCCTAAGTGCTACTATCAGAGATGACAGTCCTGTCTCTTTCCCCTTTCCCATACATCTCTCAGACTGGCCTCTGGGAACTTTGGGGACTTCTTTTGCATTTCTGCTGATCTAAATATCCATATTAACCATTCCACACCTGTATAGAAGGGGCACAGAACAGTGCACCATGTTAGAGTCCCTAGTTCCATAACCCTAGAGAAAAGACGTAGAAGCTCCGTGTCACCATTACTGAAGTACTTTGGTACAGATTTTATGCAGCCAGGGCTACATACTGATTATCCAGTCAGTGCTGGTATTCACGTGGCCTTAACAGGATGCATCTCGGCCCTCCTGCTCTTTCTCTTAGGGTGTGGTTAGTGTACTCTCTTTTTCTTCAGCTTGAAGGTACTAAGAGCACTGATCCTGGAAAGGGCCAAAGTGACAACTGACTAGCTGAGTGACCTTAGACCAATTATTTAACTCTTATGAGCTTCCTTTCTCCAATCAATAAAATATTGGTAATTTCATCTAACTCATAGTATCCTAAGAAAAAGATGATGTTTATAAACCACCTAGTTTGGTGCCTAGCAATAATTTCTGTTGGTAGTGTCAATAAATACATTAATAGTATTATATAGGACACCTTTCTTTTTTTTTTTTTAATTGATTTTTTTACAGAGAGGAAGGGAGAGAGATAGAGAGCTAGAAACGTCGATGAGAGAGAAACATCGACCAGTTGCCTCTTGCACTCCCCCTACCGGGGATGTGCCCGCAACCAATGTACATGCCCTTGACCGGAATCGAACCTGGGACCTTTCAGTCCGCAGACCGACGCTCTACCACTGAGCCAAACCGGCTTTGGCAGGACACCTTTCATTTTTACCTGCTTATCACTCATTTCTCTCCCCACACACACACACTTTCTGGTAACACTATCTCTATTTTCCTTAGAGAACTTGTCCCAACCTTCTACTCACAATCATTAGGTTATATAAGGCTGATTCTCTCTACTCCACCCTGGATAGGGTTGGAGTGAGTATATGAACCAGGCCTGGCCAGGCATCATAGTCCACCCCTCAAACATGGCAGCTGGTTTAGGATGTACACCTTGGTCCAAAAGACTCCCTGCCATCATTTTAGATGAAACAACTAGGAAAAATAAGCTCTTTTTCAGCTGGAATTACTTGCTTTGAAGATGGAACTTCTGAGTACCACCATGTAAAAAGGGCTTCCTTGAGACTGAAGCTATTGCAAAAAAAAACTCAGAGCCAAACTTTTAATAGTGTGAAATCAGACCAGGTGACATCACTTGAAATCCTGGGTCCAGCAGTCACTGAAACTATATCCATCCCTCGACCATTTTAGTTACACATGCCAGGCAGACTGGCTGCATTAATGGCCCCAATCCCTGTATCCGCCCCTCGGCAGTGCCTTCACAATCTGTCCCTGGGTTCTGTTGCATGGCTTCCTTTGGCCAATAAGGAGATAAAAAATGTGAAGCAAGCGGAGGCCTGAAATAGCACTTGTGTATTTACTCGCTTGCTCATTTTCTCCTGCCATAGGAGTGAGAGCATACCCAGTCGAGCCTGCTGGGGAATAAAAACATAAAGCAGGGTCAGTGTGTCCTAGCCAACAGCCAGCCCCAAGACACCTGAGCAAGCCCAGCTAAGATCAGCAGAGGTGCCTAGCCAACCAGCAACTGATGACAGATGCAGGACAAGTCCAGCTAATAGCCACTGAACTCCATACACTCGTGGACTAAACAAACGCTTCTTAGTATGTCACTGAGGTTCTGTGGTTGGCTGTTTTGCAACATTACTGGTTCAACAGGTATCTGACATATTCACTCGTAAAATTTCTACATTCGATTCTAGTTGGGGTATCTGTCACTTGTACCTGAAAAAGTCCTTATGTATCCTATGAAGAAATATTTTCCAAAAATGCTTCTGCTTTCCCTAAAAATTCCCTACAAAGAATTATATGCCTGTCTCTAATTAAAGAACTTAGTTTCAAATGTTTACTAGTACACTGCTCAGAGCTTAATTATGTTTTACTTGATAATAAACAAAAAAATCCTTTTCTATCTAAGATTTTTGCAGAAATAACCTGTTGTGTTTTTTTAAAGGGTAAGTCAATAGTTCTAACCATTGGAATTCAGTTTACATAAATGATGAGAGACAGACAGTGAAATAATGTGATCTTTACATGAATATTTAATGAGATGAAAAGATGTTCATGCCTAATGGGGTTGGGGGAGGGGAGCAAAGAACAGACTGCAAAACATTTCTATGGTTTACTTACTCAAACTTTTGTAAGACACATGTACACACACTAACTAGCAGAAGATTAAAAACGACACACATCAAAATGTTAACAGTGGTGGGAATCCAAGGGATTTTTTTTTTCCTTTTGTTTACTTGCCTTATATTTTCTATCTATATATATAAAAGGTAAGCGACTGAGCAACTGAGCGACAGGTCCACTGAACCATTGACCGATTGCTATAACGCACACTGACCATCAAGTAGCATATGCTCAACACAGGAGCTGCTCCATGGTGATCAGTATGCTCCTACAGCTAACCTCCCGCAGTCCCTCCCCCAAGCTGGCTGGCCCCAATGGCCCAAATTCGGTGGCTAGCCAATCTTCCTGCAGCCTTCCCATGGCCCCACCCCTTGGCCAGACAGCTTCCCTCCGCCCCTCCCCTCAGCCAGCCAATCTCCTGCTGGCCAACCTCCCACGGCCCCTCCCCTCAGTCAACCTCCCATAGCCCTGATTGCTGGCCAGCCAAGGAACCCCACCTATGGACAGATTTGTGCACTGGGCCTCTAGTACTATATGAAGATTTTTCTATTGTCTTTTCATTCTCTATTTCATATATTTCTGCTCTGAACTTTTTTTTCTTCCTTTAGTAACTTTGGGCTTCATTTGTTCTTCTTTCCATTGTTCAAAAATAGTCAACAGTAAGGGGTTTTTTGGTTGTTATTGTTGTTACACAGCAAAGAACTGAAATAGTCATTTAATGTTTCGTTGAAAGATTATCTAATCATTTTTTACCAATCACCTATTATTAGACACAGGTTATTTTTAATGGAAATATTATAATTAATATTCTGATTGATAAAACTCCATAGACATCTCTTATTACTTCCCTAGGATAAAGTTATAGAGGTAGAATTATAAGATGGAAATTTAAAGGTTCTTCATACCCACTATCAAAATTCCCTCCAGAAATGTTGAAATAATTTACACTCACACCCTTACCATTGGCTATTTTTCCTCCACTGCCTTTACTCGTTACTCTCAACAGATCTTGGAAGCCACTAGAGGCAACTAAAAATCCCTGAAACACCCAAATAAGGATCACAGCTCTACATGTTCAGTAAATACACCTTAATGAGGAATGCCAATACTGTGCTAACCAGCTCTGCTTTGGGCCAGTGCTTCCGCGACAGTGTGGCCAATGTTCAGATAAACAAAGCTAATGGGGTTTTGTTTGTACACCAAGAC